AAGACAGGTTTCACCATGTTGGCCAGGTTGCCACAAACTCCTGACCTCAAGTGATCCTCCTGCCTCAGCCTCCAAAAGTGCTGGAATTACAGGTATGAGCCACCAGACCTGGCCCCAACTGTCTTTATAAGATAGTAGGTTTGTATTATTACATAATGACTAAATTTTTTTTTTTTTAAATAGAGATAGAGTGTTAGGCTCACGCCTGTAATCCAAGCACTTTGGAGGCCAAGGCGGGCGGATCACCTGAAGTAGGGAGTTCAAGAGACCAGCCTGACCAACATGGTGAAACCCTGTCTTTATTAAAAAAAAAAAAAAAAAAAAAAAAAAAAAAGAAGAGGCCAGGCATGGTGGCTCAAGCCTGTAATCCCAGCACTTTGGGAGGCCGAGGCGGGTGGATCACAAGGTCAAGAGATCGAGACCATCCTGGCCAACATGGTGAAACCCCGTCTCTACTAAAAATACAAAAAAATTAGCTGGGCATGGTGGTGTGTGCCTGTAATGCCAGCTACTCAGGAGGCTGAGGCAGGAGAATTGCCTGAACCCGGGAGGCGGAGGTTGTGGTGAGCTGAGATCGCACCATTGCACTCCAGCCTGGGTAACAAGAGTGAAACTCTGTCTCAAAAAAAAAAAAAAAGAAAAAAAGAAAAGAGATGGAGTGTCACCATGTTGGTCAGGCTGGTCTCGCTCCTGACCTCAGGTGATCCACCCATCTTGGCCTCCCAAATTACTGGGATTACAGGTGCGAGCCACCGCGCCCAGCCTATAATGACTAAAATTCTAAAATGGAAGCAGTTGGCGGGCGTGGTGGCTCGAGCCTGTAATCCCAGCACTTTGGGAGGTCAAAGTGGGCGGATCATGAGGTCAGGAGTTCAAGACCAGCCTGACCAACATGGTGCAACCCCGCCTCTACTAAAAATAAAAAATGAATTAGCTGGGCATGGTGGCATGTGCCTGTGATCCCAGCTTCTCAGGAGGCTGAGGCAGGAGAATTGCTTGAACCTGGGAGGTGGAGGTTGCAGTGAACTGACATAGCGCCACTGCACTCCAGCCTGAGTGACAGACTCCATCTCAAAAAAAAATAAATAAAAAGAATAAAATGGAAGCAGAGATCTCTGCATAAAAAAAGAATAAAAGAATAAAATGGAAGCAGAGATCTCTGCATAAAAAAAGAATAAAATGGAAGCAGAGATCTCTGCATATTTGTGTTCAGGTGTTGATGCACATGAGCACGTATGTTGTGTCTCCATGTGGACAGAAAGCACTTCAGAACGTCTGCTCAGATTTGCTTAGTGCTCATGTACAATATAAATTCACCTACATGCATTTTAGTTTTTTTTTTTTTTGAGATGGAGTTTTTTGCTCTTGTACCTATTAGTTAAATAAGGTACTAAATAAGTCTGTCGATACTATACGCCGTACATGGATAAGTTCCTCTGGGAACACTGAAACCCATTTACACAGAATAAGAAAACAGGCACATGGGCCAGGCGCAGTAGCTTATGCCTGTAATCCCAGAACCGTGGGAGCCCGAGGTGGGTGGATCACGAGGCCAGGAGCTAAGGACCATCCTGGCCAACATAGTAAAACCCCATCTCTACTAAAACACACAAAAAAAGTTAGCTGGGTTTGGTGGCGCACGTCTGTAGTTCCAGCTACTTGGGAGGCTGAGGCAGGGGAATCACTTCAACCTGGGAGACGTAGGTTGCGGTGAGCTGAGATCATGCCCCTGCCCCTCAGCCTGGTGATGGAGTGAGACTCCGTCTCAAAAACAAAATAAAAAAAGAAAACGGGCACGTGGTTACAAATCTCGCCTAATTCCCTATGGCCGCTTCATTTATTCAGCTGGTTTCCTTTCATTTCCAATCTTCTTTTTCTGAGATGGAGTCTTGCTGTCACCCAGGTTGCTGGGCAGTGGTGTGAACTCGGCTCACGGCAACCTCCACTGCCCAGGGTCAGGCAATTCTACTGTCTCAACCTCCCGAGTAGCTGGGACTACAGGCATGTGCCACCACGCCCGGCTAATTTTTTTTTTTTTTTTTTTGACAGTCTCACTCTGTCACCAGGCTGAAGTGCAGTGGCTCGATCTCTCCCAAAATGCTGGGATTACCTCTGCCTCTGAGGTTCAGGCGATGCTCCTGCCTCAGCCTCCTGAGTAGCTGGGACTATAGATGCGTGCTACCACATCCAGCTTATTTTTGTAGTTTTTTTTTTTTGAGACAGAGTCTTGCTCTGTCACCCAGGCTGGAGTGCAGTGGTGTGATCTTGGCTCACTGCAACCTCCACCTCCCGGATTCAAGCAATTCTCCTGTTCAGCCTCCCAAGAAGCTGAGATTACAGATGCCTGCCACTACACCTAACCAATTTTTGTACTTTTACTATAGATGGGGTTTCAGCATTTTGGCTAGGCTGCTCTTGAACTCCTGACCTTGTGATCCACCCGTCTCATCCTCCCAAAGTGCTGGAATTACTGGAGTTAGCCACCGCACCCTGACAAATTTCTCTTTTTTTTTTTTTTTTTTTTTTTTTTTATGAGACGGAGTTTCGCTCTTGTTACCCAGGCTGGAGTGCAATGGCGCGATCTCGGCTCACCGCAACCTCTGCCTCCTGGGTTCAGGCAATTCTCCTGCCTCAGCCTCCTGAGTAGCTGGGATTACAGGCACGCGCTACCATGCCCAGCTAATTTTTTGTATTTTTGGTAGAGACGGGGTTTCACCATGTTGACCAGGATGGTCTCGATCTCTTGACCTCGTGATCCACCCGCCTCGGCCTCCCAAAGTGCTGGGATTACAGGCTTGAGCCACCGCGCCCGGCCATTTCTATTTTTTTTAATCTTTTATTTATTTATTTTTGAGACCAAGTTTGGCACATTTCCCAGGCTGGAGTACAGTGGTGCAACCTTGGCTCACTGCAGCCTCCTCCTCCTGGGTTCAAGTGATTCTCCTGCCTCAGCCTCCCAAGTAGATGGGACTACAGGCACCTGCCACCATGCCCAGTTAGTTTTTTGTATTTTTAGTAAGAACGGGGTTTCACCATGTTAGCCAGGCTGGTCTTGAACTCCTAACCTTGCATGATCTGCCCACCTCAGCCTCCAAAAGTGTGAGATTCCAGGAATGAGCCACCCTGCCCTGCCTTTAACCTTTTTTTGTTTTCTAATCATCATTATTTTGCTTTCCTTTAAGCCTAGGTTCATGGGTCAAAACCAATATGCAAACTGGGATAACATGTTCCTATTAATTATTTTCCCCTTTAAACTTGTTCATTGCAACGTTTTGCAAAAGTACAATTTCTAACAGAATAATGGTGACACAGCACTTTGAGATGATAGAAGACTACAGAAGTGACAAAAATTGAAGTTAATAATGGACTCAGGCCAGGCGCGGTGGCTCAAGCCTGTAATCCCAGCACTTTGGGAGGTCGAGGTGGGTGGATCACGAGGTCAGAAGATCGAGACCATCCTGGTCAACATGGTGAAACCCGTCTCTACTAAAAATACAAGAAATTAGCTGGGCATGGTGGCGCGTGCCTGTAATCCCAGCTACTCAGGAGGCTGAGGCAGGAGAATTGCCTGAACCCAGGAGGCAGAGGTTGCGGTGAGCTGAGATCGCGCCATTGCACTCCAGCCTGGGTAACAAGAGCGAAACTCCGTCTCAAAAAAAAAAAAAAAAAATGGACTCTGGTAGACTCAGCCTGACAGCCAGAGTCTCGAACCTCCTTTGCTGCTCAAATATGGTAAAAAGGGTTTTGCCAATCACTGCCAGCAGCCTCTCTCTCCAGCGTGGGACCAGGCCAGCTACCTGGGACGAGTTCATCCCAGCACGGGACTTTCAAAACCTAACTACAGGATGACTGACCAGTGATGCATTTGGAGAAAGACCTCAATTAAAAGGGGAAAATATCCAAGTTGTCAAAAGTGGACTCACTTATTTAAAGTACTCTGACAAATACAGCTGGGAAAAGGTCAGGAAGGGAGCGTCCTCATGAATAAATAATAAGAAAAACTGTCACGAGATTCTGCACAAACCACAACCTCGCAGGAAGGCAACCTTACACAAAAGACACTTCGGCAAGGACGTCTGCCCAGGAACTGCCTGGTACTGGTCTTTGTTGCAAGGTTATTTCCAAACCATTGTCTTCCTCTTCATTTTTCCTTCAAAAATCATCTTTCGGGCTGGGCGTGGTGGCTCACGCTTGTAATCCCAGCACTTCGGGAGGCCGAGGCAGGTGGATCACCTGAGGTCAGGAGTTCGAGACCAGCCTGACCAATATTGTGAAACCCCGTCTCTGAAAAAAACAAAACGAAACATCGTCTTTCTTTACTTTCCAGAATGCGCAAATCGTTGACTATTACGGCACGCATATTCGCCAGCGCCCTATTCCCAAATAAACACGGTCTTCAGTTAGCCCCTCTGCCCTAGGCGGACAGTCATCATTCCTCCGCCCTCTGTTGCGCCCCCACAGTCACGCCAACCCACCGCCCGCTGCTGCAAGGCTGCCTCCGGGGCGACAGGCGCAGCTGGGGAGTCACCCGGCGCGTCGACTCGCGATTTTCGGTAACTTCACCCAAACGTCCGGCCAGCCGGCGGGCTCTCCCAGGAAGCCCGAGGCGAGGGAGGCCGTCGTGGGCGCGCACTCCCAGGCAGGCCTGCCGCAGGCCGGCCTCTCCCGGAGACGGTCAGCGCCGAGCGGCTTTCACCGAAGAGCGCCGTGAGCCGGGGCGGGAGCGACCTCGGGGACAGCGGAGGGAGCGGGTCTACTCAAGCGCGACGACTCGAGGGGCGGCAGGAGCGAGAACGACGGGCGCCAGGGGACCGAGGGGACGCGCCGCTTCGTCCGCACCGTCCCAGGAGGCCGGACGCCGAGCGCTCCGCGTCTTCCCCAGCGGCTGCGGCGGCGACGCCCTGCGGCGTCCCCGGCGTTCGCCGCGCCGCTTGCGTCACACTGCGCTTGCGTCACACTACGCGCCGGCGCGCAACTTGCGTCACACTGCGCCTGCGTCACACTCCGCGCCGGCGCGGGGCGCCGGGACGCTCGGCCGCGCCCTCCGGAGTGCGGGTCTCTGCTGCGGACGCCGGGGGCCGGCGCGCCCTGGGCCGCCCCCGGCCTCGCCGAGTGTAGCGCGCCCGCAGGCCGGCGCCTGCCCGCAGTCCGCGGCCCGGCGCTCGGGCTGGGCGGGGAGGCCGCCGCGCAGACGCCGCACGCTACGCCGCCGGCACCGCCGCTTCCGCGTCGCAGGCTTCCGGCCGCCGCGGCCGCCATTTTGCTCGCGCGGAAGCGCCGCGGTGGGGTGGGAGCCCGAGCGGGACCCCGCGGGCTGTGCGGCCTCCGCCATGCCGTCGTCCCCGCTGCGGGTGGCGGTGGTGTGCTCGAGCAACCAGAACCGGAGCATGGAGGCGCACAACATCCTCAGGTAGTTGGGCCCCGCCCTGGCCTCGCGCGCTCAGCTCCGGCGACCGGCCCGCCCTCCCCGGTTCCCCCTGGCCCGCGCCGGGCGCCCCGGGAGGAAGCTGGGCCTGGCCGCGCTCGGGGGTCGGCTGGCGGGGATGGCAGCGGGACGGCGGCGCGCGGCGCCCACACGCGGGCGGGCAGCGCAGGGAAGGCAGGTTCCGCGAAGAGGCGCCCGCAGCCGGGGTCCTCCGAGCTCCCCGAGGCCGGCCCGGGAGCCAGGGTAGCGACGGAGGTGAGGGGCCGCGCGTCGGCGGCCGATCGTGGGATTTCGTGTGCGGCGTTGGTCACCTTTGCTGGAAATGCGCACAACATCACCTCGGCATAGAACGGTGTTGGAAATAACAAAGCGGTCCGCTTTGATAATGCCGTGGATTTGTGTGTTTGCTACTCCTTGTTTTCTTTTGCAAAAGATCCTCTTCCTCCCGGGAAGGCCTCCAACCGGTAGTTTCTGGAATACCACGTGGATTCGGTTTGGCTCTGCGAGTTTAAATTCGCTGCTAACTGGCCTTCTGTGACGCTTGCGAAGCCTATGTCTGATGAAGGCTTATTCCTGTTTGATACGAGTTTTTCGTTCAGTCACAGAGCAAAACCAGAAACTTACCACCTGAGTTACAGTTAGAATTTGGGATACGTGTCAGCTTTGATAGTAAGAGAAAATTGAAACGGCTTCCCCCCCCCAGTGTTGCCTACGTCAACTTTAAAGGAAAACACCATCTCGCTTCTCTTATCACAGTCCAACTTTAACTTTCCTGAGTAATGTGGGGAAATTAGCATCCCTCTCTTTGGTTCACGCCTGTTACCCAGCACTTTGGGAGGCCGAGGCGGGCAGATCACCCGACATCTGGAGTTGGAGACCAGCCTGGCCAACTTGGTGAAGCCCGGCCGGGTGTGGCCAACATGGGTTAACCCCTTCTGTACTGAAAATGCAAATTTTAGCTGGGTGTGGTGAGGCGTGCCTGTAATCCCAGCTACTGAGGAGGCTGAGGCCGCAGAATCGCTTGAACCCTGGAAGCAGAAGTTACAGTGAACCGAGATCATGTCATTGCACTCCAGCCTGGGCGACACAGTGAGATTGTCTCACAAATACAAAAAACTGTCAGGTGTTCATAATCTGCTGATGTTGTTTTTAATTCTTATGTCTACATTGTCCACATTATTTGCCTCGTTATTTATTTATTTATTTTAGTAGACTATATGCTTTGAACTTAACAAATTAGTATGAAGGTTTTTGTTTTTGTCTTTGTTTTTGTTTTTTGGAGACAGAGCCTCGCTCTGTCACCCAGGCTGTAGTGCAGTGGCATGATCTTCGGCTCACTGCAACCTCCACCTCCCAGGTTCAAACAATTCTCCTGCCTCAGCCTCCTGAGTAGCTGGGATTACAGGCACCACCGTGCCTAATTTTTTTAGTTTTCGTAGAGACAGGGTTTCTCCATGTTGGTCAGGCTGGTCTCAAACTCCTGACCTTGTGATCCACCCACCTCAGCCTCCCAGAGTGCTGGGATTACAGGCGTGAGCCACCACGCCCAGCCCATCAGCTGTCTTTTTATTGCGACGAGGTGTGTTTTATTTTCATTATTCTTACAGATAATTTTCTATAACACCCTGGGGCAAACGGGAGACTTTAGCAGCCCAGTTTGGGGACTGGAGGGTTCCTGCAGAGACCCACAGGCCAGTGGCATCCGTGCATACTGCCTGGGTTCACAGCACAGCTTGTGGCATCAGCACAGAGTGCTGGGGTTCACGGGGAAGCTTGTGGCTGGTGTCCATCTTGTGGGTGGTTCTTCCTCCACATCATGACGCATGTCTGGATGCTGACGGGGGCAGGAAGTACTCCAGCCTCTTAGAAAACGTCACTCCGCTTCTCCTGCTCAGTGGTCTCTGGACAGCTGGGTGTTCTTTCATGTCTCTGTTGTCTTTAGTTTGGCCTATTGATGTTGGAATTTGTATATGTTGTTATTTTCACATCTTTTTGTTTGTTTTCGGGCCAGGGTAAGGCACGATTATAGCTCATCACTTCACTCTTGAATATCTGGGCTGAAACGATCCTCTTGCCTCAGCCTCCCAAAGTATTTGGATTACAGGCGTAAGGCAGGGTACCCAGACTACTTTTGCTTTTGAAAATTATCTATGTATGTGCTTTGTCTATTTGTTTGGGTTTATTTAGAGGGTTTTAAAACTTATTTAAGAAATCTGTGTATTAGTGTTTTTCTTTTATAAGCTCGGAAAGCTTGCGAAAGTCAGATTTAGAGACTTTTAGGCCTGAATGATGTTTGTGAAAAGCATAGAAAATGCTTGTGATAAGTGAAAAAAGCAGGAAAAGTGTATATGCATTTGGGTATGGTTACATGAAACTACAGGAAGCTGCAGTGACATTGTCACAAGGAACTGTAGCTAGTTGATCAGTGATTCACCCCTTTTAAAAATGTTGGGTCTGAGCCGGGTGCGGTGGCTCACGCCTGTAATCCCAGCACTTTGGGAGGCCGAGGCGGGTGGATCACGAGGTCAAGAGATCGAGACCATCCTGGTCAACATGGTGAAACCCCGTCTCTACTAAAAATACAAAAAAATGAGCTGGGCATGGTGGCGCGTGGCTGTAATCCCAGCTACTCAGGAGGCTGAGGCAGGAGAATTGCCTGAACCCAGGAGGCGGAGGTTGCGGTGAGCCGAGATCACGCCATTGCACTCCAGCCTGGGTGACAAGAGCGAAACTCCGTCTCAAAAATAAAAATAAAAAAATAAAAATGTTGGGTCTGGCAAGGTGGCTCTTCCATCTATAGTCTTAGCACTTTGGGAGGCTGAGGAAGGAGGAATCTTTGAGTCCACAAGTTTTAGCCCTGGGCAACACAGGGAGCCCCCCCCACCCCCACCATTATTACAAACTTAAAAAATTGGCCACATGTGCTTGCATATGCCTATAGTTCCAGGTTGGGAGACGGGACTTCAAGATCACGTGAGCCCAAGAGGTTGAGGTTGCAGTGAGCTGTGATTGCACCACTGAACCGCCGGGACGACAGAGCAAGTCCCTGTCTATAAAAACAGAAAAATAATAAAAATTTTACCCTATTGAAAATTAGCGGCTGGGCATGGTGGCTCACGCCTGTAATCCCAGCACTTTGAGAGGCCGAGGCAGGCGGATCAAAAGGTGAAGAGATTCAGACCATTCTGGTCAACATGACCAAACCCTGTCTCTACTAAAAATACAAAAAGTCGCCTGTCATGGTGGTGGGCGCCCGTTGTCCCAGCTACTTGGGAGACCGAGGTAGGAGAATCGCTGGAACCCGGGAGGCTGAGGTTGTAGTGAGCGAAGATCATACCACTGCACTCCAGCCTGGGTGAGAGTGAGACTTCGTCACAAAAATACAAAACAAAACAAAATGAGCTTGGCCTGCATTTTCCTGACAGATTCAAGTGATGATTACTGTTGACATCATAGCGCCCTCTGGGGTGATCATCTTTGATATTTGAGGCTCACTTATTTCAAATCCCAGTCCTGGGAGGCCTTACGTTTTGGGGGATGCCTTACGTTTTGGGGGATGCCAGGAGGCTCTGCTGTGCATTTCCACAGCGCCTCCTGTGCTTCGTGCTCCGAGGATTCACGTGTCCCCTGGGAACCACTTAGGTTTGTGGGGTTTTTTTTTTTTGTTTTTTGAGACGGAGTCTCACTCTGTTTCCCAGGCTGGAGTGCAGTGGCATGATCTCGGCTCACTGCAGCCTCCGCCTCCTGGGTTAAGGCGATCCGCCTGCCTCAGCCTCCCAAGTAGCTGGGATTATAAGCACCCACCACCACGCCCGGCTAATTTTTGTATTTTTAGTAGAGATGGGGTTTCATTAATGTTGGTCAGGTTAGTCCTGACCTCGTGATGCGCCCACCTTGGCCTTCCACAGTGCTGGGATTGCAGGCATGAGCCGCCGCGCTCGGCTATTTTTTTAATATTGGACTGTCTTCTAGATGTTACGGCATGTGTTAGATTTTGGAAGCTGTGTTTTTAATTGTAGCAACTCTAAACAAGTTGTTGTAAGAGACTTTCAGAAAGTACTGGACTGAATTCTGTCAGTTTTCAGTCATAACTTACCCGGGCGGTGTGATTTCTGGAAAGATGAGCATAGTGGCCCCAGGGGTCCCAGGGTGGGCGACACAGGGCTGTAGAGGCCCCTCTCAGAGGCATTGTTGCAGTCCTCACCGCCTTTGTAGGATATCTACTCATGGCACCTGAGAAGAGAAAACCTACAGCTGGGAGCCAGGGCTTAGGAGTGATGGTGACGCTCTCGGCCCCAGGGTCTCTGGCCATGATGGAACTGACAGACGAACAGAGGCGAGGCTCGCACTCGAGGGACCCAGGGTGTGGGAGAAACGGTAGAGTCACCTGAGGCCCCACCGCTCCTCGCTTTGGGGGGTGCTCAGTGAAGGCAGAGGTGCTGACAGGGGCCAGTGGGAAAGGGGATTTGTCCCCATGGAGGAGGGAGCATTTGTCTTTGCTTTGAAGATGATTTTCTTATGGTTTCTTCCTTGACCCTAATAGAAGATGTGTGTGGGCCGGGTACAGTGGCTCAAGCCTGTAATCCCAGGACTTTGGGAGGCCGAGGTGGGTGGATCACGAGGTCAAGAGATCGAGACCATCCTGGTCAACATGGTGAAACCCCGTCTCTACTAAAAATACAAAAAATTAGCTGGGCGTGGTGGCGCGTGCCTGTAATCCCAGCTACTCAGGAGGCTGAGGCAGGAGAATTGCCTGAACCCAGGAGGCGGAGGTTGCGGTGAGCCGAGATGGTGCCATTGCACTCCAGCCTGGGTAACAAGAGTGAGAACTCTGTCTCAAAAAAAAAAAGAAGGCGTGTGTGTATGTGTGTGTGTGTGTGTGTGTGCACGCGTACGCGTGTATATATATGTATACGTCGGGGGGGTGTGTGCGTGCGTATGTATGAAACGTACTGAAATACGTTTAGGTCCCAAATCTCACTAATGACGGCATACATTTTCAGGAGATGTGACCATTTCAGACGAGTTTTTGTTTTTTCTTTCCAAGTCTCAGATTTAAATGGTGATAGCCCATGAGCCATTTATTTTGGCTCTGTAAACACGAGGTCATTGTGTAGCTCAAAGTCAGGCTGATTGGCATTGAAGCTGATTTTGTTGTTTTCTCTTTTTTTGAGACAGGATCTCGCTCTGTTGTCCAAGCGGGAGTGCAGTGGCACGATCACAGCTCACCGCAGCCTCGAACTTCCAGTCTTAAGTGATCCTCCTGCCTCAGCCTCCTGAGTAGCAGATGGGACTACAGGCATTTGTCACCATGCCCTGCTAATTTTTTTTAATTTTTACTATTTTCATTTTATTTATTTATTTTTACAGACAGGGTCTCACCATGTTGCCCAGGCTGATATTGAACTCCTGGCCTCAAGTGATCCTCCCACCTTGGCCTCTCAGAGTGCTGGGATTATTATAGGCATGAGCCACCATGCCTGATAGCTTCTTTTTTTTTTTTTTTTGAGATGCAGTTTCACACCCAGGCTGGAGTGCAATGGCGCGATCTCAGCTCACCATAACCTCAGCCTCCTGGGTTCAAGTGAGTCACCAGGCCCAGCCTCCCAGGTAGCTGGGATGAGAGGCGCACACCACCATGCTTGGATTTTTTTTTTCTTTTTAAAGTAGAGACAGGCCGGGCGCGGTGGCTCAAGCCTGTAATCCCAGCACTTTGGGAGGCCGAGGTGGGCGGATCACGAGGTCAAGAGATCGAGACCATCCTGGTCAACATGGCGAAACCCCGTCTCTACTAAAAATACAAAACATTAGCTGGGCATGGTGGCACGTGCCTGTAATCTCAGCTTCTCAGGAGGCTGAGGCAGGAGAATTACCTGAACCCAGGAGGCGGAGGTTGCAATGAGCTGAGATCGCGCCATTGCACTCCAGCCTGGGTAAATAAAGTAGAGACAAGGTTTCACCATGTTGGCCAGGCTGGTCTCAAACGCCTGACCTGAAGTGATCCACCCGCTTGGCCTCCCAAAGTGCTGAGATGACAGGCCTTTTGATACCTGTAAAGACAGTTGTTTGAGAAACCAGACAAATACTTGTCTGGAAGATGCGTCTGCAAAGTCATTGGCCCTTTAAGCGAAGCCTGCTGGCGTCAGGGCTGCTTTCCCAGCTCTCCTTGCTTTTCTGCAGGAAACGCTGTTGAAGCCCAAGCTGGCTGCCCTGTCTATCAGTTTAGGCAAAATAGCGCTTCTGTTGCTGTATAGACTTTTTGCCATTCGTGAACATTGTGTGGCGGGGAAACAGTGTATTCTGTGTTTAAATAGGCTTGCTTAAAGGGGCCCAGCAGGTGGTGGTTCCTGTTGGTGCTGCGGACAGGCTGTTTCCCTTGGCTGCTGTGATCACATTAGTATGAGCTTTTCTGGGTTTTTTTTTTTTTTTTTTTTTTTTTTTTTTTTTTTTTTCCTGAAACGGAGTCTTGCCCTGTCACCCAGGCTGGAGTGCAGTGGCGCAGTCTGAGCTCTGCAACCTCTGCCTCCAGGGTTCAAGAGATTATCCTGCCTCAGCCTTCTGAGTAGCTGGGATTATGCCACCACGCCTGACTAATTTTTGTGTTTTTAGTAGAGACAGGGTTTCACCATTTTGGCCAGGCTGGTCTCCAGCTCCTCACTTAAGTGATCCACCCGCCTCGGCTTCCCTAAGTGCTGGGGTTGCAGGTGTGAGCCTCTGTGTCGGGCCCTTGCTTGTGCTTTGATGGAAAGTACTTTATCATATGTTATCTGAATTGGTAAGGAAGTTGTTTTAGGCTTAGGGTGGAAAGTGCTTGCTCCCTCTCAGGTGTGCTGCCTGTCGTGTGCCCGCGTCTGGGCCCTTCACCCTCTCAGTCACAAGCAAGTTGACTTCATTCCTTTAGCCTCATGTTCTGTCAAGCTCTGTGGTTATGACTGAATGTCGCAAATTTTTAATTTTAGCAATTTCAGATCTATTTCACAGTGTGGGTGGCCCTGGACATAGGTTTGTAGTCATAAATCGCTGCTGTCATGCCACATTTCTTCTCTTTTTTTTTGAGACGTACTCTCTGTCACCAGGCTGGAGTGCAGTGGTGCAATCTCTGCTCACTGCAACCTCCGCCTCCCAGGGTCAAGTAGCTCTCCTGGCTCAGCCTCCCAAGTAGCTGGGACTACCGGCACACCACCACACTCGTTTAATTTTTGTATTTTTAGTAGAGACGGGGTTTGACCCTGTTGGCCCGGCTGTCCTCAAACTCCTGAGCTCAAGCGGTCTGCCACATCGGCCTCGCAGACTGCTGGGATTACAGGCGTGAGCCAGCGTGCCTGGCCACTTACAGGAGCCCTCTGTGCACGTCGAAGTTCCGTACTTGGCACTGTGTGGGGCGGGATTTCTTCACTGTAGGGGCTGTTCTTGTGGCTGTCCCGTGTGGCTGAGGATGGTTAGTGGCGTCCCAAGCCTCTAGATATTAGTAGCACCCCCACGTTTCACAGCCACAGTGGTTTCCAGACATTGCCACACATCCCAAGTTGTAATTAAAAAATACAGGAGCCGGGCGCGGTGGCTCAAGCCTGCAATCCCAGCACTTTGGGAGGCCGAGGCGGGTGGATCACGAGGTCAAGAGATCGAGACCATCCTGGTCAACATGGTGAAACCCCGTCTCTACTAAAAATACATAAAATTAGCTGGGCATGGTGGCATGTGCCTGTAATCCCAGCTACTCAGGAGGCTGAGGCAGGAGAATTGCCTGAACCCAGGAGGCGGAGGTTGCGGTGAGCCGAGATCGCGCCATTGCACTCCAGCCTGGGTAACAAGAGCAAAACTCTGTCTCAAAAAAAATAATAATAATAAGATACAGGAAAGGGGCCAGGCTCAGTGAGCGGGCAGTTTGACCTTTCCAGGTCCCTTAGGAATCCTGTGGACTTGGGTCCTGCAAAGCAGGGACACTGATCAATGACTGAAATGTTCTCATGAACCCCTCCCCAAGTCCATGTCAGTCAGTGCTTTTCTGTTTAAAGTAACAGCCTTAAAACAAGTTGCGATGTTCATTCAGATGTAGCCTGGCAGTGGTCAGTTCCCTTTTGATTGCTTTTACCTTGCTTTTGTGTAACTTACTCTGGAGTTTTTATGTGTATTTGAGACAAGGTCTTGCTCTGTCTTCCAGGCTGCAGTGCATTGGTGTGATCTCAGCCCACTGCAGCCCACCTGGGCTCCAGCACTGGTTCCACCTCAGCCTCCTCAAGTACTGGGATTACAGGTGTGAGTCACCATGCCTGGCCTAAAATATTTAATTAGAATTATTATTATTTTATTTTTGAGATAGAGTCTCGCTCTGTTGCCCAGGCTGGAGCACAGTGGCGTGAACTTGGCTCACTACAGCCTCTGCCTCCTGGGTTCAAGTGATTCTCCTGCCTCAGCCCTGCTGAGTAGCTGGGATTATAGGTGCCCGCCACTACACCTACCTAATATTGTATTTTTAGTAGAGACCAGATTTCACCATGTTGACCAGGCTGGTCTCCATCTCCTGGCCTTGTGATCCGCCCTCCTCAGCCCCCCAAAGTCCTGTGATTACAGGCGGGAGCCACCTCACCTGTCCTAGATTAAAAATATTAAGACCTGTTCTCTAGTATCAGCCAATGAAATTACTCATTTTGTTTCTTGGCTATTTCATGTTCCTTGCTTTTGGAATTTTGTGTCTTAGTCTGACTGTGATTCTTTGTCTGCTTTTGTCTTTCAGCAAACGGGGATTCAGTGTCCGATCCTTTGGAACAGGGACTCACGTGAAGCTTCCAGGACCAGCTCCGGACAAGCCCAATGTTTATGATTTCAAAACCACATATGACCAGATGTACAATGACCTTCTTAGGAAAGACAAAGAACTGTATCCCAGCGGGTTGCCCTTTCAAACCCCCAGGGTGGTCCTCCCTGGAAGGTGTAACGTGTGGCTCGGGCACGGGAGGCTGTCACCTGGGCAGTGCACACACTGGCTCCTCCTCTGTCTTGCGAGAGCTTGGTTGCTAGTCCTGGCGCACATCGGATCATCCACGGGTTAGTCCCAGTGCCAGCCATGGCCTTAGGCGTTGTGAGGCGCGCACGGTGTGAGGGGTCCTGACATGGTGTAAACCAGGGGTGCTTAGGTGAGGAAGCAGAACCCACAAAGTCCCGTTGCTTTTCACACTGCAGTTCTGCCCTGTTCTTTCCTTTGCCAGGTAGGGGTGCGTGCGTGCGTGTATGTGTGTGCGCGCGTGTGTGCGTGTGTGTACATGCCCATGTGGTACACATGGCCCCGGGCTGCTTCACACATCTGATGTCCTTAGAGGGCCAATTTTTCTATCCAGGCTATTAGAAGCAAATAATGGGAGGGACTGTTCCTTCCTTTCAGGAGGACACAGAGCAGAGTGGTCTACCGCTAAGGCTCCTATAAGGAGAACGGTATTCTTTTTTCTTTTTTTTTTTTTGAGACGGAGTTTCATTCTTGTTGCTCAAGCTGGAGTGCAATGGTGTGATCTCAGCTCACTACAATCACCATCTCCTGGGTTCAAGTGATTCTCCTGCTTCAGCCTCCCGAGTACCTGGGACTAAAGGCGCCTGCCACCACAGCCCGCTAATTTTTGTATTTTTAGTAGAGATGGGGTTTCATCATGTTGGCCAGGATGGTCTCGATCTCTTGATCTCGTTATCTGCCCGCCTCGGCCATCCAGACTGTTGGGATTACAGGCGTGAGCCACCGTGCTGGCCTAGAAGAATATTCTTAAGGTAGATTCTGACGGATGAAACACCAGTTGCACATTGGTTACGATAATCAGTGCCCAGGTTTTTGACCAGGCATTTTGTGGTCACCCCACACTAAAGGGTAGTTTCTACATCTTTTGTTACAGTGAGTGATTTGTACTTCTGAGAACAGAGGCCAAACGTATTCCAAAGGGAAGGAAGATAGGCATCCAGTGGGAATGCTTTTGTCTTCATATTGGCCCTCTGGCCATCCCTGCCCTCGCCCCCTAGCAGACTCTCACCCTGTCCCCACGCTGGAGTGCAGGGACACACTCCGTCACAGCCTCGACCTCCTGGTCCAAATGGTCCTTGCGCCTTAGCCTCTCGAGGAGCTGGGACTCTGGGTGCACACCCAAACACCAGGCTTTCTTTTTCTTTTCTTTTCTTTCTTTCTTTATTTTTTTTTTGAGACAGTCTTGCTCTGTTGCCAGGCTCCAGGCTGGAGTGCAGTGGCGCAATCTCGGCTCACTGCAACCTCCGCCTCCCGGGTTCAAGCAATTCTCCTACCTCAGCCTCCTGGATATCTGGGATTACAGGTGTGCGCCACCAGGCCCAGCTAATTTTTTTGTATTTTTAGTAGAGACGGGGGTTTCACCATGTTGGCCAGGATGGTCTCGATCTCTTGACCTCATGATTCACCCTCCTCGGCCTCCCAAAGTGCTGGGACTACAGGTGTGAGCCACCGTGTTTCTTTTTCTTTAAAGTAGATGCAAGTCTCTCTGTGTTGCCCAGGCTGGCCTCCTATGGGCTCAAACGATCCTCCTGCCTCGGCCTCCCAGTATGGGGATATAGGGATTATTAGCATAAGTCACCATGCCCGACAACTCTTGTAATTTTTTTTTTTTTTTTTTTTTTTTTTTTGAGATGGAGTCTCACCCTGTTGCCCAGGCTGGAGTGCAGTGGTGAGATCTCGGCTCACCGCAGCCTCCGCCTCCCAGGTTGCAGCCATTCTCCTGCCTCAGTCTCCCGGGTAGCTGGGATTACAGGTGCGCGCCACCATACCTGGCTAATTTTTGTATTTTTGGTAGTAGAGACGGGGTTTTACCATGTTGGCCAGGCTGGTCTCGAACTCCTGACCTCAGGTTATCCACCGTGCCCAACCCTACTGTTGCAATTTTTAATAAGCTAAAAAAAAAAATTTGTACACAGATTAATTGGGGTAGCTGGAAATGGACCCTGAAGGTCTTTCTAGCAAAACCTAGAATTGGGTCCTGCATGACACCACCTTCTGTCCCCCCCCCCACGCTGTCTCTTCTGCCAGTTACCGTTAAAAGGTTGAGTAGGTGAGTACGCTGGGCAGAGTCCCAGGCGTCTCCTGTCAGCTCCCAGCCCGCCTGCCTGCTGCAGCAGAGGGTATGGTCCTGCTGGGGTGGAGGGCGTCCAGACGGCAGGCGGGCTCTCCCTGTGGGTTACTGTGCGTCCCGGGGAATCATCAGCACATCCTGCTGCCCCTCTCCGCAGAAGCCCTGGTAACCTGCGTCTGGAAAAACCTCCCTGAGAATCTCTGAGGGGCTCAGTAGGCCATGTCCTGGTCCGCCCGTGTTACACATGGCTCAGATGTGGTTGCTTCCGCCATGGGCTGAGAAGGACCGGGACGGTGGGGTCATGCCTCAGAAAGGGGGCCCTTCTGATAGGCCTTTGTCCGAGCTGTGTCTTCACCCCGACCACAGAGCCTCTTCCAAGAGTCTCCTTTAGGGGCTGGGTGCTTCCCATTGCCCTGGAGAAGGCTTTGGTCTCATCTCATTGTTCATATTAAACTGTGCCATGAAGCTTATCCTGAGATCCCGTTTTTGAAAATTACTCTTCAGTTAGCACTGTTCCTTTTTAAATTCTTGTATCCAGTAAGAGAAAGAAAAGTTCGGAATGCACAAGCTCACACTGGATTAGCGCAGGCGCAGCCCCTTCGTATCACCCACTGTGGCTTCCCAGGCTCTGATGTGGGACTGAGTCCAGCTTCCGCGGTCTCATCCGGAAGGACTTGGTGTAGGGAGAGGGTGAGCCTGTGTAGAGGGACCACAGGGGTCAGTAGTCTCCCAGGAAGCGTCCCACCCAGAAGAGCCCTGTGTGCCTGGCGTGCGCTCAGGCATGGTGGGGAAGGGTGGCAGCATGGGTGCTGCGTGTCACCCACAGGCTCTGCCCTGGAGACCTCGTGTGGGAAAGGCATCGCCTGTGGTGGCCCCACAGGAGGCGCTGGGAGGAGGGTGCCTTCATGGCCTTGCTTATTTTATGTGGGGGGATCTCTGCCCCCTGCGTTGGGCACAGGGACAGAACAGTGTGCCTGCCACTTGGCGAGGCTCTTGCAGGTGCCGCCCTTGCCTGGAAAGGAGCAAAGTCCCTGGTAGTTCCCTATGGACGCTGGCATGAGGCCAGGTGGGGCATGTTCCCTAAGCAGGGATCGAGGTGAGGAAGGTGGGGTCGGCCCTCCCGGAAGTGTTCGAGGTGCAGGTCGGGGGACCCCGATAATGTTACCTGGTTGGTGGGGCAGGGAGCCTGCGTGAGGTGACTCATGCAAATGAGAGCCCGAAACCGAATCTGTCACGGCAGCCGGTGTGTCTGCACAAGGGACGGCTGTACACTGCAGTGGAAAGCAGGAAGGGTATTTTAAGATGTTAGGCAGAGATAAAATGCAGCATTTGGTAAAGTATTTAAAATTTCAAGGGAAAGGCCGATGTGACTTGGGAGGAAGATGCTGCTTATTCAGAGGCAGAGCCAGGGTTCAGGGGACCCCACCTACTCTGCCATCCGTGGCCAGGGCCTAGGTTTTTCTATGCGTACCCACCTCACAGAATTTCTGATAAATAAATTAGAACATGCAAACACTGAGCCTGAAACCTAGTGTTTTTAAAGCCCTCAATAAATTTTGGCCCATTGTCCTGTTAGTATTGAAATATTTAATTTCCTTTTTTTTGAGACGGAGTTTCACTCTCGTTACCCAGGCTGGAGTGCAATGGCGCGATCTTGGCTCACCGCAACCTCCGCCTCCTGGGTCCAGGCAATTCTGCCTCAGCCTCCCGAGTAGCTGGGATTACAGGCACACGCCACCATGCCCAGCTAATTTTTTGTATTTTTAGTAGAGACGGGGTTTCACCGTGTTGACCAGGACGGTCTCGATCTCTTGACCTTGTGATCCACCCGCCTCGGCCTCCCAAAGTGCTGGGATTACAGGCTAGAGCCACCGTACCCGGACCTTTTTTATTTTTTAATTTGTCTCAAATTCCTGGCCCCAAGTGGTCCTCCCTACCTTACCTTCTAAAGTAATTGGATTATAGGCATGAGCCACTGTTCCCAGCTTTATTTTTATTTTTTTTGGTTGAGACGGGAGTCTTGTTCTGTCACCCAGGCTGGAGTGCAGTGGTGCAATCTCGGCTCACGGCAACTTCCACTCCTGAGTTGAAGCAGTTCCCCTGCCTCAGCCTCCCAGGTAGCTGGGATTACAGGCATGCATCACCACACCCCGCTAATTTTTGTATTTTTGGTAGAGATGGCATTTCACCTTGTTGGCCGGGATGGTCTCCATCTTGACCTTTTGATCGCCTGCCTTGGCCTGCCAACGTGCTCAGATTGCAGGCGTGAGCCACCAGGCCTGGCTGCTTTAATTTCTTTTTCTTTTTTTTTTTTTGAGACGGAGTTTCGTTCTTGTTACCCAGGCGGGAGTGCAATGGCGTGATCTCGGCTCACCGCAACCTCCGCCTCCTGGGTTCAGGCAATTCTCCTGCCTCAGCCTCCTGAGTAGCTGGGATTACAGGCACGCACCACCATGCCCAGCTAATTTTTAGTATTTTTAGTAGAGACGGGGTTTCACCATGTTGACCAGGATGGTCTCAATCTCTCGACCTTGTGATCCACCCGCCTCGGCCTCCCAAAGTGCTGGGATTACAGGCTTGAGCCACCGTGCCCGGCCTCTTTAATTTCTTAAATACAAATTCTCTGGCCGGGCGCGATGGCTCACGCCTGTAATCCTAGCACTTTGGGAGGCCGAGGTGGGTGGATCACCTGAGGTCAGGAGTTCAAGACCAGCCTGGCCATCATGGTGAAAACCCATCTTAAAAAAAAAAAATACAAATTCTCCTTGACTTTTCATGAGGTTATCTGCTGGTAAACCCATTCTAA